TATTTGGCTGTGAGGCACATTTTTTTGTACCTAGTTATCACCATATTTAGGGCTGTGTAAAATCACTATTGACTCAGACATAAGTTTCCATGATTTCTGCTTTAGATGTTATTATTTAGGCAAACTTTATGGTTTGTTTTAAAGCAAAGCTAGAATAACTTTAACTCTATCTCAGTTGTTTTTTCAAAAATGAGAAAAACATAAAGCTTGTTTGAAAAGTAATGAAGCCATACTATTGAAAATCTTGTTTCTCCCCCACAGCCACTGAACTATGAGAAAAAGAAGTCATATACCCTCAACATAGAAGGAGCAAATACACATCTTGACTTTCGCTTTTCTCACTTGGGTCCTTTTAAAGATGCTACTATGCTGAAGATCATTGTTGGGGATGTAGATGAACCACCACTATTTTCCATGCCTTCCTATGTCATGGAAGTCTATGAAAATGCCAAGATCGGGACCATCGTTGGTACAGTTTTGGCACAAGATCCTGACAGTGCTAATAGCTTAGTAAGGTATGGTATGTTTCAATCTTTTAGATGTATAAAGATTTTTATTGCCTCTCACATTAATTTAGCACAGGCAAAATAATACTTAAATATTTTATTACCATGTTGTTTTCCTATTAATATAATTAAATTAAAATATTACGTGATTCTTTGAGTAGCTTAGTAAATGGGTTTCTGTCAAATTAAAAATATATTTAGCTATCTTCGTAAATGTATTATTGACCACACAGATTAATTTTTCCACTTGACTTAATGAATGTGTACATTATTAGCTGAGAAAATTGTTGTAGAAATAGTTAATCACATAATATAGGATCTTTGGGTTCTCTAGTGATCGCAACTATAGGTACAGTACAAAAAGTAAGGATTTGGAAATGGCACTCATCTCTAACGAACTCTAATTCCTCTGATCATACTAATTGTGTGGCTTTAGAAAATTATCTATCCTTATATGTAAAACAGGAAAAATAATATCTATCTCTCAGAGTTATTGTGAGGATGCATGAAGCAATGGACATAAAGCACCAAGCAAAGTGGCCAGCACCTGGTAGTCACTCAATAAATGCTAACTTGTACCAGGCAGTATAAAGTGCTGACTTAAAGATTGGACTCTGAATACAGGAAAACCAGTGTCGGAATTTTAGTATCTCTATCCACTAG